AAAGTCTGGGGTTTGGGTTAGACTTGTCCTGGCTGATATTGCTCAGTCAGTTTACTATAGAGGCTTCTAAATGCTTGTCAGTTTCTTACTTCCTCATGTCACTGATGTCAAAAAGCACTCATTCCTGGGCCTCATTTTGAGTGACCTTGGGCTAGGCTTTGCCCCTGGCTCTGTAGAAAGAAATGAAGCCCAAGAAGTGGAAAATGTTGGGGTGTTGCTGGTAGAACTGTGGTGCGGTCCTACCCTAAGGTCCTGCAGGGTGAGAGGGCCAGCCTGGCACCTGCGGATACCCTTGGGTGTGGCAGACAGGCTGTGGGGCGCTGTCATGTAATGGAGGTCTTGGTTTCTCTCAGTGAGTGTCCTTGAGCACAGGGGCAGCTGTTGGGGAAGCCCAGTTACTTTGCTGGGGAAGAAAGGACAGGAGCTCTTGACACATCAGGAAGTTGTTGTGCATCAGAGCTCGAGCGTCCCCCGCTGTCTGGTAGAGGGGTGTCTGTAATGACCAGTTTGTGGCATGACCGAGAAGGAGCCTGGAGTGTGGAATGCAGCTGCCCCTGTGCCATCCCACAGTGTTGGGGGACACACACACACATCCTTTCAGCCCGCCCATGGCCTCTCCCATTCTCATACATGCCTTTTGATTGGGGATCAGTGGAGGGGGTGTCAGGAGTCGACAGCCCCCCCAGAAACAGGAGCAGATGTGCCTTCACTGCTCAGCTTCTGTGTATTATGCACAAGCATTTTATTCTGACCCTGGCTTATTCAGGAGCAACAACAACAAGGATCTCTGGGGTTCCTTCTCTTGGGAGGCAGCCCAGGGGGATTCTAGTTTGCAGGTAGAGGCCGGAAGCCCCTCTAGAAGCCTCCTAGGAGATCCTCTTCTGTACCCCCAGCGGCTGCCAGCATGTATCACCTGAGGGAGGCTGGGCAGGGGCCTGGCACAGTGCTGGCCAGTTGTCATGCAAGCACACATTCTTCCTTTAACACTCATGATGCCCTGCAAGGTGAGTCTGAGCAATATTTACAGATGAAGAAGCTGAGGCTCAATCATTGTCTTGCTTGGATGTGGGCAGACCTGCCCCCAAGGTCCTCTTGGCAGCTTGTCATTCTGTGCCTCTGGGGAAGCCAGGCGAGGGGCTTTGCCAAAGCTGGTCAAACTGAGAACTGTGAATGAGTCCTAAGACTTAAGCTCTGTGGTTCCTGTGCATTCCTGGGTGATGATTCGCTGACCTAACCCTGCTGGGGTGGGCAGAGGGGCTCTGTCTTCTGAAGGGGGTGGGGCAGGGGGCACGTGTGTCCCTGACTGCCCATCTGTCATTACAGAAGGAGCCCAGCGAAGTGCCAACACCTAAGAGACCTCGGGGCCGACCAAAGGGGAGCAAAAACAAGGGTGCTGCCAAGACTCGGGTAAGGCTTGAGGGGCCCCTCCCGGTGGACAGTTCAGGGCCCTCTCCCCACAGGTACAGCTGTGGGGGTGTCTGAGAAGGGCCACTGGTGCCTCTTCTGGAATAAGGGACGGCAGTGGGTCTTTCTAATTAGGGGAAATAAGGTGATGGCTGAGGCCTCACTTTTGGGGCCTGGTGGGCCTGCCTGGGACACTAGGACAGTGGTGAAAAGTCAGATGTCCTCTAGCTTTCCTGGTTTGGGGAAAGGCAAGGTGGGGAGAAGGAAGAAACAGCTCCACTAACTCGGGCTGAGTGGTACATTCTGTCCTGGGGTGCTTTAGAGCCCCGGAGGATATGGGTGAAGGTCAGAGTCACGGTGGCATCAGCCTTCAGAGTTTTGCTTTTTATTTTACTTATTCTGAAATGCGACTCATATCCTCTGAGTCATGGGTGGGGGGCGTGTGTGTATGCTGGGGGAATGGTGGCTGGCCAGTCATCCCCAGCTGGGCTCGGGTGGACCTACTGGGGTGAGTCCTGAGCAGAGGTGAGTAGTGAGACCCTATATACCTCCCCCTCATCATCCGGGATACTGCACTGGGTGAACATCTTTGACATAGTGCATCTTTTCTCTGACTGCCTAGAAAACCACCACAACTCCAGGGAGGAAACCAAGGGGCAGACCCAAAAAACTGGTAGGTGAAGGGGCAGGGGTTGCGACTGGGCTCTGTGGGGAAGGTGTTAGTGGGTGAAGCCTCATCTGCACACCCACCACAGAAAGGGCTTCTCCCTGGTCTGCAGGGGCTGGAAGCATGGGCAATTCCTTGTACCCAGGCCCTGAGGGGATTCACCCAGGCCTTTTTTTTATTTTATTTTATTTTATTTTTATTTTTTTTAAAGATTTATTTTTATTTATTTATACAAGCACTGGGTACAGTCAGAAGCGCGGGAGGGTGAGAGAATTCACCAGAGCCAGAGCAGGGAGCAGAGCAGGCAGAATGATGAAGTACACTGCTGAGGGGAGCAGCGGGCGGCAGGAGAGGTCTGCGCACCTTGTGGGACCCTCCTCCTGTGGCCTGGGAAGCAGCCGGGGATCGAACCGGAGCTGCAGGCAGCTTCGCAACCCAGCGCTCAACCGCGGCTGCGCCACCACCGCCACCACCACCACCACCACCACCACCACCACCACCACCACCACCACCAGGGAGGTCCCACCCAGGCCTTTAAAGGAGTAGGGAGGGAGCTGAGGTCTGAGCCTAACCAGGTCAGACCTAGTGTAGGGGTTTCTATTTTCTGTATCTATAGTAGGACACTCAGACCCCCCCTGGGGGGGGGAACCTGGAGGGCATCTAGTCTGCCCAATGTAGAAATGAGGAGAGGACCCCACCACGATCCAAGGGTGGGAGAAGCAGCAGCTCAGCCTGGGTGCTGGGCTCTGCTGGATGGGAGTCCGTGTGGAGGCGCCTCCACATGGAGGCATGTCCATTTCTGGGCCCTCAAGTAACTGGTGGTGGATGTGAGTTGGGAGACCACTTTAGGGGTTCACTGTAGTTAGAGTCACCTAGCCTTCCCTCTGACCTTTTCCTACCCCCCAACCTGCTCCCTCAGCTTCTGGATGCATTCGTTCCTCGAGCTGAGCCACAAGGGTGAGGGGGGCTAGAGGGGTGCTGGCCAGAGCCCAGGAGTGAGTAACCGGAAACAAGTTGTTTTGGAGTTTGTGCCTGGCACGGGGGCCGAAGGCCCATGTGGTGTCCCAGCATTCCCGCCCAGTGAGTGAGCCCCGCAGGCACACACTTCTCCTTCCTCCCCACCCTGGCCTGGGGTCAGACCTCCTGTGGGGGCCAGTCCACAGGCCTGAGGCCACCTGCTTCCCCTGCATCCACCAGGGGGGGCTCGTGCATCCTCCAGTCACCCCTTCGCTTCCCGTCCCCCCCCCCCACTCCCCGCCTGCCACCTCCTCTCTCCTACTGAGAGGCAGTCACTTCCTCTCTTCCTGGCTCTCAGTGCACGACGTGCTCCGCAGGTCTCCCCAACGGCCCCCCCGCCCCCCCCCCCCGCCCCACCGTGGTCCAGAGGGGCCTGGCTCTGAGAGAGCAGCATGTGTGTGGTTTGTTTCCCTCCCTTTAAATTCTTTCTTTTTTTATGAATGAAACTGGGCTCTGGAGGTTGCTGAGTCACCCACACACTCAGCCCTGACTCATCCCTGTTCTGGAGAGCTATCGAGTGCAGGGGCTCTGACCTGGGCCTCCCTCCCCTCAAGCTCGGGTGGAGGAGGAGGGGGCCAGGCCTGGCACTCGTACTGATGGCCCTGCCCGCCTTGTAGGAGAAGGAGGAAGAAGAGGGCATCTCGCAGGAGTCCTCGGAGGAGGAGCAGTGAGCAGTGACCGCGCCGTGCCGCCTGCTCCCTCACCCAGGAGCAGTTTCCTTCTGGGACTGGACAGCTCCGCTCCCACCGCCCCCGCCCCTAGGCCCACGCGTCACCACCCCTCCCTGCCGCCACCCACCTGCACCCTCACCACCACACACTACACAGCACACCAGCCGCTGCGGGGTCCCCGAGGCCCGAGTGGGGAGCAGTTTTCCTTTGGGCTCAGTTCCCAGTAAGCCCTCCGCCTGTATACACACCTGCCCTCCTGGACAAAGCTGACTTGCCACTTAGCTGCAACCTGCATCTGCTGCCTCCCTGCTGTCAGCGGTGGGGACATTGCTGTCTGGGCTCTTGGTTTGGGGATCCCTTCTGCTCCCCCACTCTTCCCTCTGGTATCCCGTTCAGGGGCCTAGGTGGGCCCCCCTGGCCTTAAGGGGCCCGAGCCCCATCTCATTCTAAGGCCCCACTCCACTGTACTGGCAGGTATGGTCAGTGGAGCGGGCTGCTTGGCCAAGACGCCCCCAACCAACCTGTGTTGCTCTCCAGGTGTGGCTCACACCCACTTTTCTTCCTTCGCCTCCCCTAGTCCCTGTACTAGGTCGAGCAGTCCCCTTTGGGGTACTGGAAGGAAGGTAGGTGGGGTCTGAGCCCCCTCCCCCCCATCTGCTCTCACTCTAGGCCTCAGTTTCCCCTTTCCTCACATGGGGCACTAATAACAAGGAGCTAGCCTTGCCCACTCCCCCCCTTCTGCTCCTCCCCAGCCCCCAAGGTTCTGGTTCCATCTTTCCTCTGTTCACAAACTACCTCTGGACAGTTGTGTTGTTTTTTTGTTCAATGTTCCATTCTTCGACATCTGTCATTGCTGCTGCTACCAGCGCCAAATGTTCATCCTCATCGCCGCCTGTCCCGCCCCCCCCTCCCCGAGATGCTCTCAGGGGACGGGGCCTGGGCAAAGCAGGCCGATACCCCAGTTCCAGGGAAGGTGGGGCTCTGCCCCTAGGATGCTGCAGCAGAGTGAGGGGGGGCTGTGTTGACCGTCGAGGGTGTAGGGGCCACCTTCTCCCCCTGTTCTGTTGGGGAGGAGGGAGCCATTATTTGTCCCAGCCTGGGGCCCCCCCTCTGGTTTCCTATTTGCAGTTACTTGAATAAAAAAAATATCCTTTTCTGGACTGGAGTCTTACCTGTGGGGGGGGCCCTTTGGAGGCACCCTGCCCAGCTCTGCAGGCTACTGGGGAGGCGAAACACTCTCATCAGCCACACCTCTAGCCACAAAACAATTTATTTACAAAATATACATACAGAACGCTGTACATCGGCCCTGTCACCATGGAAACAACTCCAAAGCCAAGTCGGGGAGAGCTAGAGGAAGGTGGTGCCCACGGAAAGGGCCAAACTGCCTCCAGATGAGCCTCCTTAGTGCCTGGGGGTGGGTGGCAAGCTCAGCCCATGGGGACTGAAGTGGGGTGGGAATGAGGTGATGGGGGGCTGGCTGCTAGGCAAAGATTAAGGGCGCCGCTGCGGATAGGATGGGTGGGAGGACCTGAGACCCAGTACCCAGCTGGGAAGCCGGGGCTCCTGGGAGGGGCAGCAGCTGGGCGCTCCAGGGCCCTACGGTCTGAAAATCAGGGCCGGGGCAGGGTGTTGTCATGTCTTGACGTCCAGCAAGGGCATCCGCTTGTGCTGGTAGCCGCTCTGCCAGCCGGGTACCACCTGCAGGGGAGAGTACACCACAGGGCTGGGCTCTGACCCCTGGGAGTTCACGGTGCTCCCACTAGTCAGCCCAGATGGGGAGGGCTAGGCCAGGCTCTAGTGTCCAGCTGCCTGGTTTTCCCTGCTCAGGATGCTCACCTTGGGGTCGCCCACGTCAGAGAGGAGCTCCTGCTCAGCTTCGTGGAGTTCCTCAGCAGGGTCATAGCTGTACATGGGGAGCAGGTGATGGCGAAGCCGGTCCACCCTGGGAAATAGAAGAGGGGCTCAGGCCAGAGGGATCCAGCTCCTCTTTAAGCAGCTGACAGCCCTAAGGGTATACATGCCTGATTCTAAAGGGGGTTCTCCCTAATGGGGTGTGGGGAATTCTAGGCTCCTATCAAGATGGCTGAGGGGCAGCAGACATATGCAGAGAACTCAGGTCTATGGGAAGAAGTTTTAAGCAGAGTGCAGAGGAGGCAGCACTAGGGGTGGGGACACTCACCGCTTTTTCTTCTGGACATACATTACCTGTAACAGAGACAGCACTGTGGGGGCTGCTGGGCCCACAATGGCCCACAGGCAAGACGGCCCCACCTCCACACCCTCCACTCCGTCACAGCAGGACAGCAGAGATGCTGTGTCTAGGCTGGACCAGGCCCACCCAGCCCTGTCATAGCAAAGTTTGTGGGTATCTGTGTGTGCTTTCGGGGACTCCTTACCACAGCCACCACCACCCCGACCAGGGTGATGAGGAAGAAAGGCCCCAACACATAGCCCACCATGGAGTCGCTGTTGGCCTGGGGGGCATTGGGCACTGTGGTGTTACTCATGACATCGGCAGCCGCAGGGCTGGGTGGTCAGCATGGGAGTAGTGCCTCGGGAGGGCGCCTCCACTGGGCTCCCTGGGGAGGAAGAAGGGAGGTTAACCGTTTCACCCAGGGTGACATCAAGGCTCTGGAGCCCTCCCCCAGAGCTGGAGATACCAGGAAACTTGGGTCAGGTACTGGGCCAGGGGCTCCTCCAGGTCAGTGTGCTGGCCTAACTCCAAGGACCAGGCAAATCTTGGGTGTAAAGAGTACCAAGGGAAGGCCCAAACCCAGGACCCAAGTCCTGCCCAGCTCGTACCCCCAAAGCACTATGGAACCCAGTCCAGAGCTGGCCCAATTATTTGCAGATCTCAACTCCTGGGGAAAGACTAGAGGTAGATTCCCACTTCCTGCCCCAGACCTTCTGAGGCACTGAGCCAATCTCAAGTGAAACAGATTAGGGAAAACACCTGAGGGTCCTGCACTGTGGTCTGGGAGGTGGGGAAGAGGCCCAGCTCAGTCCGTGCCCTCCTCGTCCCTGGTACCTGTCCAGACAAAACCTGGACACCCTCTCCCACATCTCTCTGCCGCGAGGGTGGACACAAGTGGGCAGCGCAGGATTGTATCTGTGAGATGATGTCACCTCCCGCTGGTCCCCCCCCCGGGGCTCCGCCCAGGTCCCTCCTCCCCTGGCCTGCGCTGACAGGTGAAGGAGAGGGTCAGCCCCCACTGCCCACCGTCAGATGCAAGGAGACGGTTCGTGGCGGCTGCACGCGCAAGCCCCGAGGCCCCTGACCCCGGTTCGCCTGGGTTTCCATCGGAGGGCAAGGTGCGAGCTACTTGCCCGGGTCTCCGTGGGGGCACCAAGGTTTGCCCGAGTCGCGTGCTCACCGTCCCACGATGGAGGGACATGCATAGGTGGGGAGGGTGTCCGGTCACTCCGAGGATGCGGACCAACAACGGAGAGCGGGCGGTCCTTCCCACGATGGAGGCTCAGGCCGCGGGAGGGGGTTTCGGGGAGCGCGGAGGGGCCTCCCCGGACGGTGGCATCCTGGCAGCCCGGCAGCCCGAGGCGTGGCCCCGCGCCCGCGCGCCGCAGCCCGTCCAACCCGGCCCAGCCTTACCTCCCGCCGCGGCAGCCCGGTCAGCAACGCCCTCGGCTGGCTCCCGCGCCCCGGAAGCGCAGGCGGCGCGTGATCAAAGGACCCGGGGAAAGGGGCGGGGCCGAGGAATCAGGGCGCAGCCAATGGGGTGGCGGAAGCCGGCCGGCCGGCGAGCGCCGGAGCCGCCAATCCGGAGGCGGGGCGTGGGCGGGGCGTGGGCGGCGCGGGGGCGGGGGCGGCCGGGCTGCAGGGCCCACCCGGCGGCTGCAGGGGGCAGCCGAGGGCCGCGCAGCAGGGGGAGGGGCGGGGCGCGAGGGGGGACCCGGCGGGCCCCCGGGCGGCCCCCGGCCGAGCGCCCGCCCGGGGAGATACGAGGCCGCCAGTGGGGGGCGCTGTCGTCACCCCTGGGTGCGCGCCCGGGTGCAGCGCCGGGCCACGCCCCGACGTCCCTTCTCCGCGGGCTCTGCCCGGCCCGCAAGGCCGCCAGCGGTGGGTGCCGCGTCCCCCAAGCCTCCTGCTGCGACCGGCTCTTCGGGCTGTCGGGGGTCGGCGCCCGCGGTGCCCGGCTCGACGCCCGCCCGCGCGCCTCAGTCTGAGCGTCTGTGAAACAGGTTGCTGTGAGGAGGGAGCCACGGCGTGCAGCAGGAGCCCAGCACACGGCACCTTCTGATACTGAGTTCCTCTTGTTGACTTCTTTTCCGCTTTTCCGAGCACAGACTTCAGTGGAGTGAGGTCTCCCCGGCTCGGTTAAGTTGCTGGATGGGTGAGCATAGGTCAAAGCTTTCAGGATCTAATAACGAAAATGTCACATATTGGGGAAATCTGATTAAGATTGGTGGATATTGGGCCTCCCTGGTGGCGCAAGGGGTTAAGCACCGCACTATGAAGCAATCCGCAGCCTCTGCAGCACGAGTTAGACTCCCGGCTGGCCAGGGAGCTACCCACATGGCGCAGCAGACCTCTCCTGACTCGCCCGCCCGCTGCTCCCCCCAGCAGAGTTTTCAGTCAATCTGCCTGTTCTGCTCCTCACTCTGTCTCTGGTGAATCCTCTCATCCCCCCAGACCTCTGGCCTGTACCCCAGCTCTTGTATGCATAAATAAATAAATCTTAAAAAAAAAAAAAAAAAAAAAGCTTGGTGGCTATTACCAATGTCGGCATCTTGGTGGGGAGAACATGCTATAATTTTGTAAGATGTTACCATTGGGGGAAGCTGGGCAAAGTGTACAAGGGAGTTCTGTTTTCTTTCTTTTTTTTTTTAAAGCTGTATTTATTTGCTGGGGTACAGGCCAGAACTGGGGTACAGGCCAGAAGTATGTGTGTGGGGGTGAGAGGATTCACCAGAGACAGAGTGGGGAGCGGAACAGTCTGACTGACTGAAATACACTGCTGAGGGGAGCAGCAGGCGACTCAGGAGAGGTCTGCGGTGTCATGTGGGTAGCTCCCTGGCAGGGATCAAACTTGTGCTGCAGTGGCTGCGGATAGCTTCATAGGTCGCGTCTTAACCCCTTGCGCCACTAGGGAGGCCCTGTTTTATTTCTTACAGCTGCATATGAATCCACAATATACACACAACGTAGGTGTGTATGTAGTTACATACATGTCTATATAGTTTTATACCAGAGCCCCCTCTCCAAAATCACATGTAAGTCGGAAAACTCCATTCTGGCAGCTGATGGAATGCACCCAAGAAAAAAGTTGTGGCAGCTGAACTAAGATGAGGCCCCCTGGGTCCTGGGTGTTACTGGAGATACAGGGATGGCCTGGTCATATTATTCTTGCCAGAGAAGCCTTTGGAGCAAGTGTGAGGTGCTGAGAGCCAGGCCCTGCTAGCCAGACGCAACTGAGAGGGCTGGGGCACTTGGCCTGGTCTAGCCTTGGTTTCATCAGGTCTTTTAGAGAAGGCTGGGTGAGGGCAGTTCTGGTGCAGAGATGGGCTCAACTGGCAACCAGAGGGCAGGTGGACACTCAGATCTCTTGTGTCCAAACGCTACCATCTGATTGGCGGAGAACCAGAGAAAGGAGGGAAGAAATGAGAGAAATACCAGATAAACTTTTTTTTTTTTTTTAAACTTTTTTTTTTTTTTAATATACTTTTTTTTTTTTTTTTTAAATAGAGGCATGTTTTATTTATTTATTTGTTTGTTTGTTTGCTTGTTTTCTTTATACATGCACTGGGTACAGTCAGAAGCACGGGAGGGTGAGAGAATTCACCAGAGCCAGAGCGGGGAGCAGAGCAGGCAGAATGACGAAGTACACTGCTGAGGGGAGCAGCGGGCGGCAGGAGAGGTCTGCGCGCCATGTGGGACCCTCCTCTGGTGGCCGGGGAGCAGCCGGGGATCGAACTGGTGCCGCAGAGGCCGCGGGCAGCTTCGCAACCCAGCGCTCAACCGCTGCGCCACCGGGGAGGCCCCAGATAAACTTTTTTTAAGATTTATTTATTTACGTATACAAGAACTGGGGTGTAAGCCAGAGGTGCGGGGAGGGGGTGGTGAGAGGATTCACCAGAGAGAGTGGGGAGCAGAACAGGCAGCTCTACTGAAATATACTGCTAAGGGGAGCAGCAGGCGAGACAGGAGAGGTCTGCTGCATCATATGTGAGTTAGCTCCCTGGTTGGGGTCGAATTGAGGCCCAGTAGTGGTGATAGTACGAGACTTAACTCCTAGGCCACCAGGGAGGTCTGCCAGCTGTGTTCTTCATGCAGCCGCTAGCTCAGGTAGGGAAGGGGCAAAATAGGACTGAGGTGTACCTCATCAAGTTTTGACTGTTCCCTTCCCCACACTGCCATGGTTAGTACCTGGGCACTTCCACTAAGACCTTACTCCCTGCTCTAGATACACCTACAAATCATAAAAATAAGACCTTTGACAATAATTTGAAAATATCAAATTATTAACCAGCAACTTAGATTCATTCCAGAATTAACTTTAAAGAGATTTATAGGAATATAAAATATCTAGCCCCTGACAAAGTAACATTTGTAATATGTGGTGTTCATTAAAAAAGGGGAGGGCCTCCCCGGTGGCGCAGCGGTTGAGCGCTCGGTTGCGAAGCTGCCCGCGGCCTCTGCGGCGCCGGTTCAATCTCTGGCTGCTCCCCGGCCACCGGAGGAGGGTCCCACATGGCGCGCAGACCTCTCCTGCCGCCCACTGCTCCCCTTAGCAGTGTACTTCGGTCCTTCTGCCTGCTCTGCTCCCTGCTCTGGCTCTGGTGAATTCTCTCACCCTCCTGTGCTTCTGACTGTACCCAGTGCATGTATAAACAAAAAAACAAACAAACAAACAAATAAATAAAACATGCCTCTATAAAAAAAAAAATCTTAAAAAAAAAAAAGGGGGCAACTGCAAAAAATACCACAACATGCAAAGTGCAGGAGAATATATTCAATACAATCTATGATGAAGAGAATGCCCCATCACTTAAAACCGACCCAGAACTGGGGCCTCCCTGGTGGCACCAGGGGTTAAGACACAACACTATGAAGCTAGCCCCAGCCTCTGCAGCACGAGTCTAATCCCCGGTCAGGCAGGTGACCCACATGGCACAGCAGACCTCTCCTGTCTTACCTGCTGCTCCCCTCAGCAGTGTATTTCAGTCAATATGCCTGTTCTTCTCCCCACTCTGTCTCGGGTGAGTCCTCTCACCCCCCACACCTCTGGCCTGTACCCCAGTTCTTATATGCATAAATAAATAAATCTTTAAAAAAAACTAAACAACTGACCCAGAACTGACCCAGGAGTTAGACCTAGCAGAGGACATGAAAAACAGTTATAACTGCATTCCTAAGTTCAAATAGTTTTTTTTTTAAAGATTTATTTTATTTATTTATACAAGCACTGGGTAGAGTCAGAAGTGCAGGAGGGTGTGAGAACTCACCAGAGCCAGAGAGGGGAGCAGAGCAGGCAGAAGGACCAAAGTACACTGCTGAGGGGAGCAGCGGGCGGCAGGAGAGGTCTGTGCGCCATGTGGGACCCTCGCCAGTGGCCAGGGATCGAACCGGCACTGCAGAGGCTGTGGGCAGCTTCACAGCCCAGTGCTCAACCGCTGCGCCACCAGGGGAGGCCCCTAAGTTCAAATAGTTAAGGAGAGATAGGAAGACATTTTTAAAAATTGAATAAATGCAGACTATAATGTCAGAGATGAGAATTAAAACTAGATGAGATTAATGGGAGATTATATGCAGAAGCAAAGATTGGTGAACATGAAGGGAGGACAGCAGAAACGAACCAGAATGAAACATATGACAACAGTGAATTCAGAAAATTAAAAAAGCATCAGTGAACTGTGGGACAAACTCAAGTGGCCTAATACAGGCATTTCTCATTTTATTTCATCTTGCAGATAATTGTGCTTTTTACAAGCCCCTCCATTACCACAATGATTATGACTTCCGAAGGCTCAGATAATGGTCAATGGTCAACAATTTTTAGCCCAAAATTTTTTTATTAAGGTATGTACAGGTTTTGTTTTTTGTTTTTTTGTTTTTTTTTTGGACACAAAGCTGTTGCACACTTGGTAGACTACAGTCTAGTGCGAACCCAACTTTTGTATGCACTAGAAAACCAAAAATTTTCTGTGACTCACTTTACTATGATACTCACTTTTTTTTGGTATGGAACTTATCCTACAACAATTCTAAGATATGCCTGGATATGGGTAACTAATGGCACAGACAGAGAGACAACGGGCAAAAATAATTGAAAGGGCCTCCCTGGTGGCCCAGGTGTTA